TTATTTGTCCTCGACTAAGGAATTAAACCAACCATGAAAATGCTTTGTTGCAAGAGTCTAGCAGGAGGAGAACTATTGCAAAAATGCAAGGAAGAACTTCAGCCTCAGCTATATGCAGGTGCGCAGTGTCTGTTCCTGAGCTCTTTCCAAAAGCACAGTGGAGGGGCTGTTAGCAGCCTGCCACTTTTGGTGCGAATTCAGTGCGTATGTGCCAGACACTCTGAACCATCTGTTGCGTAAGTGCGAGCAACAGGAAGGCTGTTTAGGCATCTGGGATAATGATGGCATCTTGCTGGGTGACACAGCAGGGCAAATATCAACTATCTTTAAACAATTTTCCCTTGGGAACAGGAATAGCTTCTTGGCTAAAGTTAGATCTTGCAAGGAGGGGCTATTCCCATCTTGGAGTACATCTCAATCTCAAACTGTAGCAGCTCAGCCTCTAAAAGCAGGACAGGGCAGCTGCTTATTGATTTATGGCTGGCAAAACTGTAGTTGTGTGACAAAGCTGTATGGTGGGCAGAAAGCATGCATGAGCAAAGGGACTGGAAAGCCCTGAAGTGACAAAGGAACTCCCCTGTGTGACGTCACTTCTGTCATTGATTTCCAGAAGATTCCCAGAGTGCCAGCTTTCGTCAAACTTATTCTCCCTGTGTGCACCAAGTCCTGTAGCAAAGAAGAACTTGGTGTGAAACCAGCTGGGAAGAGAAAGTGGTATGGATGTCATCATAGTTTTCTGGACCTAGATCAGGGGTTAGAGTTGGGGCCTGCATGTCCATTGCCTTTTGAAAGGAGGTATTTCAATGTCAGCTTGTGCAGTTATACAGAAACGAATGCCATCAGGAAATCAGATGTATATGAAGAATTTCAGGAAGATTGTGCAGTGTGAAGTGCCATTATACAGGAGTTCTTGAGTAATCAATGCAGCACGAAAGAGCCTAGGGGCTGCCAAATGTTGTATCTGGGTTTTCTCCATATATACATACTTTTTCTCCATTTTATGGATAAAGCATGAGTTACAAATGGTTTGATCACTTAAACTGACAATACAGTCAGTATTCAGCAGCTACCTTGAAGATATTAAGAGGTGAAATCACCTGCAATTTTCTTTGTCCAGGCTCTGAGACAGGACTCTCAGAAGGGATGTATTTGTAATATGTTGCACTACACTTACGCAGTATAGTTTATTCTGCATTTGCACAGCATATAAAGTGATTCCTGGAAGCATCTGACTTATTGCATGCTTTTACAATGTGGGTACTTATCTCAGGTCACTTCTGTTTCCTCCGTTGTCCTAACACATAGCCCTCAGATGGGAGAGAAGTGAATGGGAAAGGCTGTATAACAGAGCCGTGTAACTACTGCTTGAGCATTACGTTGTTCCTCATGCTTTAGACACTCTTCTGTTGTATTCCCCTTACTTCCTCACATCCTGCAGAGCCAGGGAGAAGCCAGTTATCCTGAGTTCCACTCACCAGTGCTGGTAACGCTCATGCTTTGCATCTGCATCCTCTGCTTCCATATTGATACAGGGAGAGACTTTACCTATGGAGATGAATTACTGTTTGTTGATATCTGAGCAAAGCAAAATAGACCATTGTGAAGTTAGCAGATGAGGGCTAAATAATGGTTTAGATAACCTATTTTGTCTGCTTCATAATGCAGTGTGGTTAGGAGTACCTAATAAAGAATAAATGTAGGAGAAAGCATAATCAAAGGAAAACAAATTTTTCTATTCAGAAGGACGAACTTTAGGATTTCAAGCATGAGCTGCATCTTCTAAAATTGCTACTAGAATACATTTCTCTACCATTAGGATTACTGCAGTGAGGTACTTAATAGCCTTTTGAGAGGAACTGATAATAAGAAAGAAAAGGTTGCTGCTTTCAGCTCCCAAACAATTGAGTTATTCGGCCCATATTTCCATACTTAATCATTTCAAAAGGGAAATTCAGGAGGAGTTTTATGCTGTCTTGACATCAAGTCACCCAACAACCATGGTTCTGTCCACCTTGAGTTTTGTGCAAATCTGCAAAGTTCCACTGAAATGCAACTGTAGCATAAAGTGGTTGTCCTCACCTGTGAGGAAGAGAAGTGAGAATCGTGTTGGGCTGTAGGATGGGAAGGAGCTCCTCAGTAACCTTCAGTGAGGCTCCCCTTAGCTGTGAACCCGAAGAAAGAACATCGTGGGTTGCGAGGCTTCTGTTCTGCTTCGTGTGCAAGGTAGATCTTGGTGGTCGTTCACCCGAATCAATCAGAATGACCACCAGAATGACCTGCCTCTGTCCAGAGGGAGGCCACAGGTATCTGAGATACTGCAGGAACAAATAACGTTCCAGAGATGATGTGATCCTAGGGCTGCAAGACGGATATAACACTGAGACATAAGCAGCTGTATGCAAGGCTGGAAGCCTGTGGGTGGGTGGTGGTGTTCTTGGGATTGGAGTATGGAGACTGGAAAGGTAGACAATCTCTAGTAGTACAGAGGCAAGAAGAAATGGGTGCTGGATGCTGTGTGCCAGGGGTGCAAAGACTGCAGGAGCTGGTGTAGAGGGATTGGAGTAGTTGCAGCATGTCACATTAATGACACAAACAAAAAATGAAACAGCTTGGGAGGTAGACTGTAGTCTTAAGGGTGTTGGGAGTGGGGAACGTAAGATGCAGAAGGCTGGAGCCCTAATGACAGAAGCATTAATCAGAGATGTGTTGCTCCTTTACTGTATAAAGATAAAGCAGTGTTTCATTTCATCCTCCTTATGTTCCCGGCAGCATTATGAGCATCTACTCTCATCTGGCCCAGAGGTGCATGCTTAGTCTGAACACAGAATTGTTAGTGACACTTTTTTCCTAGCCCTGTACAATAGCTTGCAATCTCCCATGTCACCAAATGTGCTTTGTCTGCCTTGCTAGGATGTCTACCGCCTCCCCGCCAGGCGGTGCGAGGCAGCGAGTGCTGCTTAGTCCCTAGGGGCTCAAGCAGAGCATGAGCGGTGGGCTCAGCAGGTAGTGCTTCAAAGCTGCCTAATTGGCTGAAAGTGCTTTTTAGCTCTGAGCTCAGGGTCAGCAAGGGAGGTAGTTTGCTGTTCCCTGACTAGTATAAACCTTTCCTGACCTCATTTAAGCCCTGCCATAGCGCCCTCAGGATTCGTTGCGCTACAGAGAACCATGGCGTTATGCAGCAGTAGCAGTGTTAAATGCTTGATTTTAAGAAATGAGTTTTTTGTTGGATGAAAAACTAGATGAATAATTCATTAGCAAAATAATGGCCAAATTCTGCTACTGTTAACTTGAACTGGGTTAGGTACTTGCTTCATCATTGGTCCCAATTACGTTAGCATGCTCACTTACAACAAATGGAAATGTGTTTGGTGTAAATGTCAGGGTAGCTGCTATCCTGAATGAAAGTCTAGGGTTTTTTTGTCTTCCGTTTGAATACTTTTATGGCATATGAGAAGAATGGGAGTTGAACTTGGCAGCTGGCAATTTGTGCTTGACCTGTCATGCGCCACGTACGATGGGAATACGCTATGACAGATTTATCATACTTAACAATGAGTTTGTCAGTGTCTTGTTAGCACTGGGGAATGTGTGTCTATCACAGGACTTCCCGTAAGAGTGAGAACTGCTCATGCAAAATTAAGCACAATTAGGAAGTCTCAGTTTTGACACTTAAAATCTTGAACCTGGAGGCTATAAAAACCTGATTTCTAAACTTGGCAGCTCTGGCAGAGGGCTTGATGCGTTCTTTATGCGATGTTCCTTTCACATTGGTACTTCCTTCTGGCACTGACTGCAGAGTGAGCTTCCAGATACAGGCTGTGCTGCTTATTTTCTTTATTATTTTTTTCTTTAATGAGATTGCTCACTAATTGCTTTGTCCTTTCAGCTCAGTGAGATTACCTTTTCAGGGATCTTGCTTGAAAGTCTTACTTTGGCTGCCCTTTTTCCCTTGCTAGAAGGGAATGAGCAGTAACTTGATTAGAAGAAGCTAGCTTAGGATGAAAAGCCTTGGAGATGCAATAGGTATCCTGGTGAATGCCAAGGTGCTCTAGAGGAATACTGCTACCTTTTGCTGGGCCCTACATTGCTGATTACTTTTTGCAATTTCTTTAATTTCTAGATAAGACAGTTGCTGTATTTCTCTATTTAGAGTTAGTACTACTTGGTACAAGACCATTCCACAAGTTTCTGGTCTGTGCCACCAATGCGACCAAAGGAGTGAAGGTACCTGTTGAGTGTTAGCCTAAATGTTAAAAGGCATGAAATAACAAAGAGTTCCCCCTCAGACAAATTTACAAACGTTATTTATGGGTATGAGGGTTAAAACCAGATATTAGAGAGATATGAAGTGCCTGCAGTATGTATTTACTGAAATTAATGTGTAAGGTTTACGTTCAGTTTTTGGAATAAAAGCTATTTTTCCAATTGTTTTTTGTCAACCGAGCAACAGAAACCTGTCTAAAAGCCTGGATTCACTTTGAACTCTTAAAGTGTTTTGGGTATCTAACTAAAAATGTTATTTTTACATAATAGCTGTTTTTCACCATTCTTAATTTTGTTCTCCATGAAGAAAACTGCAATAGGACTGAACTTGCCCCTCCAAATGGGTGTATTCTCTAGGCTTTTAGTCTCTACTTGCTTCTGCTACCTCAGGTTGGTTTTTCTTTTGCTCTTCATCTAAATATTTTCTGAGCTGAAGTGCGCTTTGATTCTTCTACCAGCCTCTTGGTTTAAATCCTGTTTGAATTAGGTTACACTTAGCTCACAAACAGACAGGGGTTGAACTGGCAGATGTGGCTGCTTCGTCACCCAGAGTCTTCAAGTTGATCGTCTGTCGTGTCAAAAACGCGTTTTGTTAAGAGCAATCACAGCCATGTTCATGTGCTTGCTCGCTCTCTGTATTCTGCACTTGGCATAATTCTGCTCTACTTCTCCAGGCAATAATGCATATATATTTTTTTTCAAGGTCCTAATCAGAACGCCAAATTGTGCTTTTTCAGGTCACGGAGCTCAATAACGTAAAGAACATATTGCGACTGCCAAAAGGCACAAAGAAGCATGCTGTTGGGATTTATTTCAATGATGACACATCCAAAACCTTTGCTTGTGAGTCAGGTGGGTAAAATGGCAAAGCACATTAGAAAACATAGGGGCACTAACTGTGAAATTATAAATATATTATACCTACACACAGATTTTCTGGGCATTTATACAGAACTTGAGGCAGATGAGTGGTGCAAGGTGTTGCAGATGGAGTGTCTTGGAACACGAATTAACGACATCAGCCTTGGAGAGCCTGACTTGTTGGCCTCTGGAGTGGAGAGGGAGCAGAGTGGTAGGTACATAAAATATTGACTACTTAAATCCTTATTGATTGCATTATTTTGAAGTTTTTGGATTGTCATAGGAAAACTAGAAGTAAGTTGGTATAAAGAAAACTCTATTTTTTCTAGCCACTGTATTTTTTTTGTTACTATTGGAGATAAGCATGGTAATCATGTTATGGGCTTTAGAATTATTCTGGAATAGCACTTTTCTTAGGCAAGTTAATTGCTCTTAAAGATGGGACTTTCTTTTTTGTTGTGCATTTTGTTGTACGGGATCTGCTACAACAGTTTCAGTATGTGACTGAGGCTCTTAGGCGACACTGTAATGCAAATAATAAATAACAGTAATTGCATGCAAAACCTGAGCCCATGGCTACTTCACTTTCCTATGCAAGTGAACTAATTACATGCACAAATGTGCTTGCAGTGTATTTATTTATGCATGCGCTTTTATTAATTGCTTGCAAAGATCAGGATTTTGATGGTGCGGTTCCTTTCTGTATCTGAATGCATGCACAAATCTCTTGAAGCCCTTCGTGTGTAGCATTTTAACTGCTCCAAACACTGAGTTTGAGTTAGTAGAAGGAATTGAGTGTTTGCTCTTGGATTAATTGTTCAAAGTGGAAATAAGATCGTGTAATAGAGGTGGAAAATAGGAAATTCCTTTAATGACTTGTACATTTAATTGGCAGGGATTTTAGACTAACCTTTTGTTTTTCTCCCAGAGAGATTCAATGTGTATTTGATGCCATCCCCTAATTTAGATGTGCATGGGGAATGTACCTTGCAGATAACGATTGAGAATATCTGTCTTTGGGACATCCAGAATCCCAGAGTAAAACTCATCTCTTGGCCATTAAGTGCCCTCCGACGCTATGGACGGGACCCCTCTTGGTTCACGTTCGAAGCAGGGAGGTAGGTGTGTGTTTGCTACAGTGCGTTGTTTTCCTTGCTGGTGTTGGGTGGTACTCTGAACAGTGCTGAGGACTGAGCTTACGTTCCTCAGGTAGAGGCTAGTCTGTACCCTGTATAAAAGTCCAAAATACTGACAAACAAATATAAGATGAAAGCAAATAATAAAGCTGCTAATTCCAAGTTGCAGCTTGAATGCAAACAGCTGCCAAATACAGGTGCCTGTGGGTGGAGAGGGGGAGAGTAGCTGGAAAGACTGGGAGAGCTGTGGTGTTCAGGAGACTCTAGGGGGAGGCTGACAGCATTGCATGTTACTTCATAAAATAAAAGATGTATAGGAGCTAGAGAACTGGATGGACAGATATGGGAAGAAGGGGTACATATATTCCTGAATTTGTATAACGTGGGCCCTTGGGCACAGTGGAGAATTATGGGTGTTAAGTGGCTCTATAGTAGGAGAATGAGAATTTAAAATTCAAAGCAATGAGTGCCAAGTTGTTTCCCAAAAGCAAACTAAAATAATGAAAGGCCTCTTTTTTTTTTTTTCTTCCATGGATTATACTCCTGTTTTCCATTTATTTGACAAATGGGTTTATAAGGAATTTGAATGCCTTTCCTTGTGGTTAGGAGATATCATTCTCTATTGCTTCCTGCAGCTTGTTTTTTTTAATGAGCTGAAGTGTTTGAGGCTGAAGTTGGAGCTCCTGTTTTCTGAACTAAACTATCAAATGCTATTTAAGTGATATGGACACATTACTTTTCGATAATCACATTAATGAATTACAATAGTAAGAAATAAATCCTATAATTAACTTCCCTGGAAAAGAAGAGGCATTTAAATGTCCATTCTCCCTGTTACTGCAGGATTTAGTTCTCTGGGAAAAACAGTGTGTGTGTGTTCTTCAATTAACTGATCACACATTAGCCGTGGTGATATAAGACAATGCAACTAGGATCGCTAAGGATATGTACTTAGTGTTTCAAGTGGAAGGTAAAACTCTGCTTTCAAAGCTAGGAAAGTTTGGAAGGAGAGTAGTTTTTCAGGTGGAAGCAGAGTTCTGTTCTTGCTTTACATTCCCTAGCCTCAGTATTAAGTATCACTTGTAAGTTCTGGTTAAGTTTTTTGCTTTTGTCAAAATGGATGCTTTGCTGTAGGCCGATAAAACTAGAATCATTTCCCACAGGTTCCAGAAATTTGTACCCACCACTAGCATGAAAAATCAGTAGAATGACACTCAGTACTCTTATAAGCAGATCACAGTTTAATAAAACTTAACTTGACCTATTTAAAAAAGGCAGTAAAGGAAGTAAAGTTTCTTCCCTTGCCAGTGCTGCTGACGGCAAGCACAACATGAAGCTCTTCAAGGTAGTCACTGCGGTTTGTTACGGGCAGTGTTTAAAAGCTTGGAAGGGGGAGAAGATTAGAGATTTAGACTCCTAACTAGAATCTGTGTGTCAAAAGTACAGTCTGGGTCTTGAGCATAAGCTCTCTAGAGCTTAAGAGATTAATGCTACTAATCTGAGCCCCTGTTTGGCAAAAGAAGGTGGGTTAAAATAGTAATACTGGACTGGGGCTCTTAAGATCCAGTCATGAAGACGTCTAGATAACTTTGTTCTGTATTTCAACAACCTTTGATTTTTATTCCTACCTGCATGATAGCACTTCTGCAGCAGCATGTTAAAGTTAAACTTTACAGATCGCCATGAACAAGGGAAAACCTCACATCTGGATGCCATCTGTTCTCACTTTGGCAGGATGTGTGACACAGGAGAAGGACTATTCATCTTTCAGACACGAGAAGGGGAAGCAATCTATCAGAAGGTGCACTCGGCCGCTTTGGCCATAGCGGAGCAACACGAGCGCTTGCTGCAAAGTGTGAAAAATTCAATGGTATGGCTAGTAGTTGTGCTTGCTATCTTGCACTTGGCACCAAAGAACAATACATTTCTTCAGTGTGATTTTTACCTTTTGATTCACAGACAGTACACGGTCTGATTCATTTCTCTTATTAACTTGCTTCTGCTTGAATGCAGTATTTGGAGCCACGTATAACTGGGATTGCTTTTCAAGAATCAAAAGAACAGGAGATGTTCTAATGCCTTAGTCCTTATGTTTTGTTTCTTGTATTTGCAAAGCATCAGTAAGTGTTAAATGATACAAAAGAGATGATCGGATCTTGTCAGTGCACATTTGCCTTTCTTATTAGATTCCCTTAATCAGCATCGTGAGACTGGAAGCATTTCTCATCAACTTATTTGCAAAATGTTGTGGCTAGAGCTTGGTTTGCCATTTGTTAACTGATGTCTATACTTCAAAGATGATTTGGAAAGAGTCATATGGTTCAAATTAAACTGCGAGTGTGGGTGAAAGATCAGAAACATCTTGTTTCTATGGATGTCTGTTTTCTTCAACATGTGCCTTTTGCATCTTACGCTGTTTTTGACACTCACAGCTCTTAGAAATATAGAAGTATAAGGTGCAGAACTAACATACAGATTGAAACCGTCTGGGATCTCCAGAAGTGTTATGTCTAAAACATAGTTATATGGCCCCTATACTTAAAGGGTTTAAGGCTATTATTTTTCTCATGAAACCTTTGGGGTGAAAAGGAATGTTTGTCCTATATGACAACTATGTGCTGCCAGTCATCCTGTGAATCCTGGGGCGGGATTAGTATCCTGAAGATAACAGATTTCCTAGAATGTATAAGATGCTCTCAATGGGCAGCTGTTCAAGAGCCTGCTTGTAAACAACACTTCCATTCTGGGCAATAGTAATAGGTTTATATAACCTGCAACAAGACTTATGCCATATTTTCTTATTGTAAGCATAAGTTCTGCTGTTATCCGTACCATGTCTAATCCTTTCAGTAATTCTCCTAACATCTTGCTTTCAGGGATAAGTTGTAATGGTGGATAATACTGGAGGACCCAGCAGGGATAGAATAGAAAATGCCATTACTATTTTGGTAACTTATAAGATGAGAATGGATGCTGAGGGAATGAATTGCCTTAAATATTTTTATTTTGCTGCTTTCTTGGACTTGAGCCAGAGTGGAAGCCAAATCCGTGATAGGAAAGTGATTTCTTAGCATTCCAATCAGGAGTAAATAAGGGATGGAGGAGTGGTAGGAAGGAAACTCTTTCAAGGTATCCAGACCAATTTTGTGGAATAGATAGTTCAACTGAGCATCCTGGCACACAGGTAATTCTGTTGTAGCTTGTAGAGCAGGTAGGATAACTGAAATGGGAAAATAGCTGCTCTAGGAAAGGAAAATTCAATAACTGAAATGGGAAAATAGCTGCTCTTGAATTTTCCTTTCCTAGTCTCTCTCTAGGTGATGTGGGTCATGCATTACTTTCCTTTTTTCAACAGGAAGGACTATTGTGACTATACTAATTTGCAGTTGACCCTACTATGTTAACTTCTGGCTATTGTCATTGCAATACAGTCACTTCTGTAAAGTCTGTGGGAGAGCTCTGTGTCTTTGAGGCTTAAGTACTAACTTGAAGCCTTTATTAAATAAGTGAGGAATAAAACTCTGCCCTGTGTGCGTTTAGAGCATGTGCTTTTCCCAGGCGTTTCCGGGTTGATTAGGAAGAGCTTGAAAGTTTGCTTTCTTTCACAAATCTTAACTAGTAGGTAAACTTTGCAGTCAGCAACAATGGTATTTTTCCTTTTCCCAGTAAAATATCATCTAATGCTATTTTTGACTATTTAGTCCTATTTAGTGAAAGCAATTTTTCTCCAAAAATATTCAAAATATCTAACTTGGGACAGAGGGGTAGATGATGTGTTTACTTATCAGTAACTAAATTAAGCAGATTGCAAACAACCTAACATAGGTCAGCATAGCTAGCAACAAGGAGTATTTGTAGCCCACCAGTATTAGAAGAGACCAACGTGGTGAGGAAAAAACACTTTCAAAAAAAAAAGAACTTCAGTAACAATGATCTCCTGAAGTGAATAGGCTTTCGGGCAACTTCATATTTGGTGTTTTTACATTCATGTAATAGCAGCTTTAATACATAGTGGCTGTTGATGCAGTACTGTAAAATTTGTCTTACAAGAGCCAGTTTGCTCAACAGATGCACAGTTGCTATAGATTTCAACAGAGCAGCTGCACAATTTCTAAAAGCTTTTTCATGAACAGTGTCCAACCATAACCCCTAAATCTAAATTTATAGGACCTAGAATGCTATGCTGAGGATAAGAACATATTCCTGTCTAACTGAAAGTCATATAATTTAGTAGAGGAATATAATTGTTTCAGATGAGCACATCTGCCCCTGAATAAGGGTTTCCCCAGCCTGTTATAAAAATGCTGTTTGGTTCTGAAATACTGAGCGAGAGCATATCCTTGAACCCTAGAGCGTACTCTCTAGGATTCACAGATACTCAGATTTAGACCTGGAAGATCTGGAGCAGAGGACCATTCTATCAGCATAGAAATCAGGTGCCTCATTTTACTGATCGCAAAATATTTTGTAAATTGCATCTTCATCGTTCAGAACGATTTCTCCTGTTTTTCTTCTACTTGAACACTTCAACAAAGTTCATTGTAGATGCTTGTGCTTTGTTCTCTGCTGCCTGAGCTGCATCATGTTTCTATGACCAGAAATCACTTACCGCCTGTGAATTTTCATGTTAGTGAAGCTTGAGCTATTATTTACAGAAAGGATAAATTCAAGTAGAAAGTAGGTGATGCAGGTGATGAGGAATTAAGTCTTGGAGGGTCTTCTGCTCACCCCTGTAATCACGGCCACCGTTACATGAGTGATCTGGAGGGTGATCCTCTGAGGCAAAGTGACTTGTGAGGATGGTGACTCACTCCAGCTGCTGTCCCCATGGGGCCATTCCTCAACCTGGGTGAAAGGACGGGGGGGCCTGGATGCCCCCAGCTGAGTGTGTGCGGGGCCTGCGACTGGGCTGACCTTTAGTGTCGGTCACCTTGCGAGGACTTGCTTGCTTTATGTTACAGTACATTGGTTCAGTGCATGAGTGTTACTTGCTCAAGTTTCTGAAATTGTGTGCAGAATTGGTGTGATAGTGGTTCCTGCACTTTCTGTTTGTCCTATGGCTTTCTGGCAAGGCCTGAGCACATGCTGACAAGGGTGTGTAACACACGTTCACAAGTAGATGTAATTTATTTTCCTCTACAGTGAATTCAAAGATGTCAACTTTTTCCCCTTTTTAAAGGGATGAAACAGCTTGCTCTGCTTAGCAATGCATGAAGCCTTTTGGATCGTTTGATAACACTAGTCTCATTCAGCTGCTGCTTTCCTTCACTTTTGCGCTGCCAGACAATGGAAAGGAAGTATCTATTCAGACTGTAGAAACCCTGGTTATCTGGCTGTCATAAGAACTGACCAGTGTAATGTTGAGACTTTACTGTTGTCATTTATGCCTGGGTCATGCTTTAAGTTGTTTTAGGAGACCTCATTATAGCTGGACCTCCCCTTAATGTAAGGAAAGTGAACTTCCCAGTTTTGGAAGCTACAGGTCAGTGCTGCATAGAAAGATGTCATTAGACAGCTTAATGGGCAGCCTGTTCTCTTCCTGCCCCCTGACAAAAAAAAAAAAAATTTGGGGGAAAAACTTTATACTAGGTCCATGTGATGTGCATGTGCTTCTGAGTTAGAGCCTGCTATTAGCTCTGGCCATTTCCACAGACTTCTGTAATTAAGAGTAGAAACTTAACTAAGAGGGGCTCACTAACTTTTGAAATAAGAAAAGAATATCTAGTATTCAATAATATGGATAATAAAGGAAAGTCAATCAGAAGAGCAACAATGTTATTACCCTTTAATTTCTGAAATTTTTTTTTTATTGTAGCATTGCCTATTGTGTGTGTTATGAATTTAGCAAGTGTTACTTAAGCAATTATCTAAGTAATTTTTACTGATTGGGGGATTTTCTTCCAAAAGAAGCAAGTTCATGTACAGAACACAGTGCGCAGAGCACAGTCCCGTCCACATGGGGATCCCAAGAGGAGTTTGCCTAGTGCAAATGCAACTTGTTCAAGATGAGTGTGTTTTGCTAAATCGCTGAAAATTGTATAGTCCAGCCTGAGAAAACCAAATTATTTTTTCCTTCCTTTTCTGGAACCATGTTCAAAGCTAGCTTGGAAGAATGAGGATTTTTAAAAAGGCAGTTTCTGCCTCCAGTGTTAGCTTTGCTTATTGTTCTTAGGTGGGATCCAAGAAAGGAAACACTTATTCCTCCTTCCTTGAGTCCTCAGGTTGTCTAGGAACCAGCTACACTGTTGACCAGACTTATGCTTTGGCCCTGTGAACCTCCTGCTCTGCTGTGACTGCTTCTTGGGGCTGGCTGCTGAGGGCTGCTGCTCCGTCCCCTCTGCCGTGGGTTGCTCACAGCTGCTGGGGCTGAGGGATGGCTTCACGATGTGCCTTGCTGCTCCTTGCCTCCTACTACTTCCTTTGATTTAAAGACTTAATTTAATCCCTGCTGCATGTGGAGAAAGGCACATTTGAACCGTTTGACAACTGTGACCTCTTTTTGGATTTCAGCTCTTCCCTTTCCCCCTAGGGAGATGGTGAGAGGCTATGGATTAATTGTCTTCTAGTTAGCAAATTACTTGTTATGTTGATGATATGCAGAGTTGGATGTCCTATCTGGTGCTCTGCTTGCCGCTATCTTCCAGGCATGTTCCAGCATATCAGTTCCAAATGTTTTTGAGTGGCTTTTCAGCACTGAGTGCCTATGTGGAATAAAGCCAGGTCATTATCAAGTTATTCCTACTTTCTTGGTTGCCACAGAGATTCAGTAGGTTAATTGTGAAATGAAATTGTTGTTAAAGCTGCCTTTGTGCAGAGTCTGAGGTGTTCAGATGAAGTTCTGTGTGTTCAGGGTGTAGCATACTAATTCTTCTCTCTAGCTGTGGGATTTTTAAAGATTTTTCCCCTTGATTCAGTTCAGGAGGGGCACTTCTGGCTCCTTTCTATGTCTTTAATTTGCTTTCCCTAGCTGTTTCTTTTTTTTTCCCCAAGATATCCTATTGTGTTTTGCTCTTCTCTAGTCAGCTGAACTGTTGCTCCAACTCTCTGAGCTTGCCAATAAACGGAGCCACCAAAAAATTATCTACCTTTGGGAAAATGTCAGACTTGCAATGCTCTGCTGATTTTTGTTTCCAGTAATAGATCCTTAGTTGTTTGTTTCCATGGTGCTGAAATGTGTGTGGTAATACTGCAAGTCCTATTTGGGCTTTATTGAAGGAACCGTAATAAATACGCAGTATGATGTAGGTAGAAACTTGTATTGTGCAGAGTGATTCACATCTTACTGACTCAGAGGTGGGTGTTTTAAGAGCAAGAGTTTACTTGTGTTTTTTTTTTTGTTTGTTTGATCTTAAATTTTGAGATCACAGGTACAGTGTCAACTGTGCAGAGAGGAGATTGAGGGTGGACGGCCGCATTTAAATAACGTCACAAAGGCTCTCTGCAAAGACAGCCAGCCCTCATCTCTGCCTCGTCTCTGTGCTTGTTTGATCTTTGTTTTCACTCCGAAATATACTGATTTTTGTAAAAGATTCTTTCACCTCAGGTTCTACAAAAGTAAAAGCGTACTCTTTTATAAAAAGCTATCATTATAAATTAGAAAAATCAAGTGCAAGATCAGTATATTTGAACTGATGCTTTCCTGGGCTTCAGGAAGAAAATTTTAGTTGTACTGTGAAGTTTATTTTAAAATTTGAGTATTTTCATCAATCTGCATATGCATGCTACTGAACTTCATAGAAAAACTGCATTCAAATGGTTAGTTTTCATTAGGCTCAATAAAATAATATATATAATTAACGAGGGCCTGTGGTTGCATGAGAACCGCTGAAGATCTGTCTGGAGCGGGGGGAACTGTGAGATGGGGCTCAGGTGCATTGCTGGAAGTCCCGTGCTCTCTCCCAGCATGTCTGGACATGCTCTTTGGTCCAGGAAAGTAGTATAAAGGTGCACTTGATCTCGTGTTGAGCTTCTGTGCCATCCAGCTGGCATGTTCCTCAGCTCTAGGAGAGGAGAGATGGACAGAAAATGCTTCAAAATAAGAAACAGTAGGTTCTCCTCAGCCATGCGAAACATCAGTCAGACTCTTGGTTTGTTAAGGCTGCAGTTAGCTTTGGGAGCTTTGCCTGTGTTGTTGGGAAACCTGCTGGCTTTGCTGCTAAAGGAGGGGCCGAACCAGCACTCTCCTGTCTTCTGCTGATCCCCAGTTTCTCTTTCAGCTGCTTGAGTTAAAACTACCTTCAGGGGAAGCAGCCTTAGCCCAGGACCAGGGAAGTGCAAAGGTGAGCTTTGGTGTGCAAAAGCAGTGTAGTCTCCTAACCTAAGCTTTGTGTGCCCGTGGGGCCTAATCCCCAGTTTAGTCACTGCTGTGGAGGGTGGATAGATGGAGGGAGAGGGGTGGCTGCAGCAGTTATTGCATTAGAAGTTTTTGCAGACAGTGGATGTACTAGTCTCAGAAGACGTACAGTAAACACGACTGTCTTGTTCACATTGGTTTACTGCTTTGCAGCTCCAGATGAAAATGAGTGAGCGAGCCGTGTCCCTCAGCACCATGGTGCCCTTGCCCCGGAGTGCCTACTGGCAGCACATCACGCGGCAGCACAGCACTGGCCAGCTCTACAGCCTAAAAGGTAAGGAGGTGGTGTGCGAAACGGTCAACGCACGCATTGAATCATGACATACGTTTTGGTACCATCTCAGCTAATGCTGATGTGCAGTCTAAGCAAGATGCCAGTTGCTCTTTATGGTCAGTGAAGGCAGGGGCAGAGGCACATCCCACCATCGGTAGGCAACTTGGATTGGTAGGAGGGTTGTCATCAGGTGCTTCTTGATTGACTAGTTTTCTAACCTTTTTAGATAGTTAAACAAGGAGAAGTTACTATTACAGTACTACCAGTTATCGAGGTTGCCCAGTCCTTCCTGTTACCTTCCTGTTACAAACTGTTTTAATGGCATCTGATTTTGCGAGACTGTTTGGCTCTTCTCTCATTTGGATGTCTGCCTCACGCTAAGAAAGATGTAGTCTTCATTATTCATTTTGTTTACATGATAACATTCAATCAAAACAATTGCATCCTTGAAAACAACTGAATTTGGGAAAGTATAAAGAAATGGCCATGTTAAGTGATTCTAGAGAACTGTGCCTTGACCGCCTTTGCTGCCATGCATTGCAGCATGCCCTGAAGATTGGCAGGGAGCTATCTGTTTCATATGTGCTCCCTGCTGTCAACCCAAGGGACTAATTATTTGGAGACTCCTGCCCAAAAATCCTCAGCGCCCCCCCCCCCCCCCCAGTAAGTCTTGAGACCCTCTTGTGCCATGGTGGTCACCAAGGGACATCTAGTGGTTACTGGGCATATGGCTGAGCACCAAGCACCATGCAAGTTAGGGGGACCAGTGGTCACTAATCAGGGTCTGCGGGAGCACTGACTGACCTCTTCCTGCTGGTGAAATGCCCATTTAGTTCAAAGCACGTGTCAAAATTGTGCTTTAGTTGCCTGAGATAAAGGAAACCAGTGGAAACAGCAGCGTCTTCCAAGCAGTGCCAGAGCATTCTGTGCCTCGTTCTCCAGGGGCACTGCTGGAGTAACCTGTGCTTTCCAGTGCAGAGGTGCAGGTGCTTAGTGCCTCTCAGGAGCTGGCCCTAAACGAGCATCCTGTAGTTATGCATGCTTTATTAGTTAAAAAATAAAAAAAAAAAACTTATTTGTTTTTTAAAACACTTCTAATGCAGATATGAGCTGACTGAATCGTTCAGAAGTCAATGAAATAGATGTATAATAAGCAAGGTGGTAAACTTTGCAGGAAAAACTCAGCAGTAGTACTAGTACTAACATTGAGACTACTACTAACATGGAAATATCATTTGCTGACATCAAGCATTCAGAAATCAGTAGTCAGATGCTTTAAAACATTTAGAAAAATGAGCATCTTTGGAGTTTTTTATACTTCCCTCTCTTCAGACAGTAGGACTTTCTTGAGGAGTGATGAGTTAAAATAAATGTCTAACTCATCTAACTCAAAAAAACAAAATAAATGTCTGTTTTTTTAATAAAGCTAGAGACTCTAAGGATTGGAACTGTCAGAACATGAAGCATCACAAGCTGTGATTAAAAATGAAAAATGCTGGCAGCCCTGAGTTGAATAGCCCTGTTCCATTCTTATCTTCTGATTTTCAGCAATTTGTAAATAAAGCTAATCATATTTTTCTCTCTTTTGAACACTAGAGGGAGCAGGCAACACATTAAAAAGCCCTAAGTAAGCCCTGCAAATGCTTCAGAAAAGGGAAGAATAATAAAAGTAGTACTGACGTGCCTGCTTAAGCTTGTTCAATAAATTAGGGCATGGGAAGATGACCTGCTGGTGGCAGCCTGTGACACAAGAACAAGACTGCTGGCAGCACTCTGGCACAGTCACTGTGCCTTACTGTAGAGTCCTTTATTAAAACAGTAATTCAGCCTTGAGCTGCCGTAAGATCGGTAGACTGTAGTGGTACAAACCACATGTTTCATATTTAGGAAAATAGCTTGCGGCTTAAACTGAAGAAAAGGATCCTAGCAGATTCTCCCCATGAGCATGGGTGAAAATCTTTGAAAAATCCTGGCCCTCAAAACATAAAGCTGTGCAGATAGCATTGCAATTAGGAAGGCTGAAGTTACTGTCTCTTTCAGGTGTCAGGGCTACTATTTCAGTGGTATCTTGAGCATTTCTAGATTAGGTCACCAAAATCTCAGAACGCTCTAATTATTAGTGAAGAAATAATTGGTATAAAGTAACTGCTATACTGAGTTGTATACTTCCCATATATATGTGTATATATATATACACACACACATATGTATAGCAGCATTTTACTCACTGAATGGCAGGTGCTATTGAAATTTTATATGCACAAAGTTTCTTTCATGTAAATTGGACTCTATGGGATTTGAATGGGATCTCTTTTCACTCTCTCATACAAAGAAAAGAACTGGTATTAATATTTTGAGATAAAGGATGATTTTTATTTTAAATGTCAAGTTGGAACTTCTTAAAAATCCATTTTCTCAAACTTTGTTCTGAAAGAACTGTGAAAGAAAGTCCAAGTCTCCATATTGTTTGAGACAGCAGCAGATTGAGCAGATGTAGGTGTAATTAAAAGGCAGTAATCTGTAGTTCAGATAGTTACAATATGCAGCATTCTATAAAGGACTGTTCCTTACTAGTACTGTTCTATTTTTGCATTTGACTTGGAGAAGACGTTTCTAGCCCGATGAAGCTTCATCGAACGGACACTTTTCCCACCTACAGATCAGAGCATCGATAAAGGACCGTAAAGAACTCTACAAACTGTCTTCTGCTAAACTGTCCTAATGGATGGCTGTGATGATGATAAGCAAGGATGGAAACACTGGAAACATTCAGGCTGGATAAAAGATTCTTGCAATACAACTTTTTTTTTTTTAAACCTTGGCAAAAGTTAAATCTGTTCTGTAGATATTGGGGAAAAAAAATAAAAAATTGAACAAACGCTCCAGTGTTTGTTTTCTATCTTACAGCCAGATAGAGAAGAAATCTCTCCCTAAATGTTTTAGATGTTTTTGTATAATATGTATGCTGTATATACACGACTTCTGTTTTATACTACTGTGGTTCCACTTTGTTTATTACAGCTGTGGTTCTCTGTGCACTCTGTAGGAGTCTTATGCTTCGTATTTATTGTAAAGTTTATCTTTTAGTTATGAACACTATTGTTCAGCCTAATCTTTCACCTTTGAAGTGATGGCCAGTTTTGAGCAGTTATTGGCTATTTTTTTCCTATTCGAAGCATGATTAAGACTTGATTTTTTTTTTTTATTTTATTTTAAAAAGGACACTATCTTCTATTTCTTGTATTTATTTCCAACTCTGTAATGTTTAAAATAAACTTTTTCCCACTTAAGTTGTAGTACTTCATTTACTGTTGGTAATATCAGCATCACGTCAGCTATCGTGCAGCTGCTAGTGTGGCAGAAGGGAGGACGGAGTGGGAAAACAAGTGGTTTGCTTTGGGTCCTTCCTCTACAACCAAACTATTTCAACTGCTCTTTGGGTATTCTAGTGAAATAAAAACATGAATTCAACAACAGTCTCTCAATTCCACAAACAGTTTTGTGGCAGAAAACACATTTGTTTTGCTTGACAGTCTCCTTGTTATGTTCTGCTTCCAAAGACTGATACCAGCATCTTAATTTAACAGCTAAAGATTTTTCAAAAATTGTTTAGTTGACTCTTGTGTGCTACACCAAATGGTGAGGAATTTATAAGTGCTGTAGATAGAAACCTTTTTGATTATTCTGAAAACAAGCATTGCATTTAGCTAAGCAGAGTTAAGTCATTTGTTAAGCTTGAGTACAAATGACTTAGTTTAACAAGTCAGGCTGATCACCTCTGACCAATTATTCCTGCTCACTTAGCAAGCTTAAGGACTGGATCTTATTTTGATTGCCCCAGTAGGGAATTTGGTGTCTCTGCAGGTTTTTAATTGAAAAAATATGGCATGCAATTTTAATGACAATTGCATCTATCTAGGAATGGAGAATATTATAGCTAATCTATCAGCAGATATCCTGGAAGAGGGAAAAAACGGTAACGGTCAGTATGGGTTTGTAGAGAGTGAATTGGTTCAGCATAACTCACTCTTTCATACAACAGAAGTAACTGTCGTGGTTTGAGTAGAAACATCTTAACTTGACTTTAACTGTGAATATGAAGTTTTATTTAAAAAAAAAAAAAAATCGGGGAAAACATGGTGTTGATCATGACCCTCGTGATGACTGTAAAATGTTTCAAAGCTGTGCTTACATATTTTGAGGGAGCTATACTCAGAGATGCTGTTGGTGGTCAGCTGTTGGAGCAGGATATCCAGAGTGTAGTGCTGTTCTCCCTGGGTCCAGTCATAACAAATCACCTGGGTGAAGCAATAAGAAGTATGCTTATTAAAACTATGATCTGGACAAACGAGAAATGCAATAGGGACAAGTGCATCTAGGTGAGACTAATTGCCTACACAAGCATATTATGGGGTGGGGGGAAAGGCAAGAGCGGCCTGTCAGAAAGGGCTGTAAATGTTTACAATTGAACATGAGTTGTCAAGGTCATGTTGCTGCAAAACAACTAAATGTCAAAAGATATTTAGCTAAAGTATTTCGCTTAAGACAGCTGAAGTAAAACTTCTGCTCTGCTTAAGGCTGGCAAGGTCTCAGCTGCAGTGCTGTATCTGGAAGGGCGGCTCCCAAACTCATGTGCCCAGCTACCTAAAAATAACTGTATGCTGTTAGAGTTGACAGTGTGGGATAGTTCAAGCATTTTTTGGGTTGACTGTGTGCTATAAAATCCATTTACCTTCCTTTATTCAGTATATTTTCCTTCTGTGAATAAGGGAGCAGTGGAAACTTCCAGTTCAATTCAGTCTTTGTTAGTGTCCTGAAGTAACCAGTTATTCCAGTAAGCTTTTTAGTGGTTTGGGTTTAGCATCTGAATATGAGTTTGATAAACCTATGATTATTTTGCAGAACACTGGAAAAATGTAAAATGTTAGATTTCTCCGTCTAATAGGGTTGTACTAACAGAACTGAAGGTGATGGAAGCTTTCAGAAAAGCAAACTGATTAAGCGTGGGAAAGGTAAATAGCAGCATGCGTTTCTGAAGGAGAAAAATCAATACACTATCCTTGCTTAAGGTATGCTGTATGTAGTGCTAAGATAAGCTTAATTTATAGTAAATAAGGATTATATTCACTTTATTTCAGAGCTGGACTGCTAACATAAATGAGTGATTGAAAAGGCATGTTATGACTAATAGGTCTTTTATCTTTCAGGTTTACTTCTGCTAATGTATTCACTTTAAAGCTGACTTTATCATGGATATGACAGTTCAGTAAATGCTTTTATTCGCCTTTCACTTATGCAGTGATTGATATAGTAAGACTTTACCTGTGGTTGAACAGTCCAATTATAAAGAAGACAAAAAACACTCTAACCTTGGCTTTTAAATGAAGAGGCCTTAAATCAACTAGATCTGATTTTTTTTTTCTAGTGAAACCGTCTGTGATGGGTAGTAAAAATGGCCTAAAAACAACTTTGTGTTAAAATACTCTGTATGTATGATGTGTAATATCAAAATGTTACCTCTTTTTAATTTGAGGTTCCTATGACTACGACAGATTAAATGACTTATCTTTGCATTGTTACTTACTCCCTTAGTTGGCAAGGACATTAGCGAAGGCAACTGAAGGGATTTGCTCCTCACATAGCTGCTGGCTTTATGGTGAGGGAAAGGTTTCGGTTTTATTTGGAGGTCAATTGTTTAAACTGTATAACAAATTATATACATAAAATAGCGATGAGGTGATGATGCCTTTGCACATGCCAGTTGGGTGCTGCTGGTACCTGGTAGCCTGGGAAAAGCAGATGTAGAACTGGAATGGAAATGGTTCGTGTAACTGAGCTATGCTCTGAAAAGACGCACTTGAGAAGATATTCTGCAAATCCATTTGTAGAACTGTAGAGCTTAAGGATGCCATGGATTCAGACTGAGATCAGCGTGAGGAATCCTTGAGAATTATATTTTCTCCAGCCTCTGCTATATACACAGGCCATCCATGTTAATGAGATCTTATAGTCTTTTAAGCTTGTCCTGTGTGTAAAAGGATGGTAACAATTTTATGGGCTAGATTCAACTGCCCCTCCAAATTCTGTCGCCACCTCTTGTCGTCTTCAACCTTGTTTTTTCTCAAATGAACGCAGATCTTCCTAACTTTTTCAAAGGCACAAAAGCGTTCTGTGAAGTCATCCAAACCAGCAGCTTTTTGGCTCTGTATCACCTCTCTCATTCATATGGCAGTAAGTAATGCTGTGCTATTTATTGGGCTGCTGTTCCTCAAAGATCTGACAGAAATGTCGTCACCTCTGAGCTTTCATCCCACAAAAGATCAGTGAGCAGTCTGCAAGTCATAATAGAGGAGAAGAAAGAATATATTTTAGGGGTAAAGGAAGTGGTCTGAAAATAAAGTGTAGGCTGCTTACCCCACTTCAAATCTGTGTCTTTTTATCTATTGGGCAGATATGAATAAGCCAACTAGTAGCAGCCCAGGGAGTAAATGGAGATGATCCAGACTGCGGCAAAACTCTGCGGGTAATGATCTTAAAAGGCTAATATTGGAATGAAGACCCTTAGGAAAAAAATGTCCCAATGTCAAGACAAAATGTTTTTTTGTAGATATCTTATTACAGGTAGCAGAATGCAAATGCCATTATCTAATATAGCATAGAGGGCAATGTAACTATCACAAATGACTGTGCTACCGTGAGAATTAGGATGGCTAACATCCTCTCCCCTTTCATTTTATAGACAGTGACAGTGTCATGCAAGGATTTTGTAATAGTTGTTCAAGGCCTTTGTTCTAGGTGAGACAATGGTCTAGCCTGGCTACCTCAGTGTGCATCTTGGTTCTTCTTCCTGTTATCCTTTCTTATTAGTTCCAGCTGGTGGTCTCCTGGAGTGTTTGGTTATTAAGAGACAGTCAAATGGCCTTCCTCTGCTGTTGGAGGAAGGCCCTATGCAAGATGGGATGACTTCAGAAGTACTAATAGAAAGGTAGAGACCACTTAGGTTAGTTACTGTGTTTTCTTGGACTGGCAATACTTACTTTTTTTTATTCTCCTTAGGATCTATCTCATAATTCAGTGAAGTGCCAAAGTCTTTTCGGACGTGTACGTGAGCATGGTCCACATACTGCAACTGGAAATGAACAGATCAGACTGAGCATTTGACACTCCCATTCTTACTACTTGGGGTATGCAGACACCACACCAGCATTGTTCCTTCTTTGTGACAAAAGTTTCTAAACTTGGAATTAACAGTCCTACAGGTTGAATTTTTTTTAAAGCTGTTTGAAAAGAATAGCCACTGGATGTTCAGTAGTGTGCTAAAAAATTTCCAGGAGGCTGCTCTCGGCCACTGTTGAACACTTGCCAAGTGTAGCGAAAGGCGTGCTGCAGCTGGGTGTGTGCATGCCTTGTGCTCATCAGACAGCTTTTTGCTAGGACAGACCTCCAGCTTACCCTTGACTTCATGCTGAAGTGCTGAGATGAAGTTGAGAGGCTCCATGTTGCAGCGACAAAGCTCCTCTTGACCAAAAAAAAGCAAAGGTGCAAACAGCAGCTCTGAGCACCTGCAAAAGCCGCAGTGAGAAGGTGCTGAAGGGAGCAGAGCCTGGGTCTCTGTGGCCTGGGCTGGCCTGGCAGGACAGAAAGAGGGCCCTTCAGTAATTTGTAT